TACACTACATGAACTGTCGTTTCACTGAACCCACCCTCCCACATCCGTACCAGCGAGGCCCGGTGCCTCCCTGCTGGACGGGCCACCCAACAGCCGATGTGATGAGGATTCTTTTTCGCTGCCACTGAACACACCGTGAGGCACTTACACTACATGAACTGTCGTTTCACTGAACCCACCCTCCCACATCCGTACCAGCGAGGCCCGGTGCCTCCCTGCTGGACGGGCCACCCAACAGCCGATGTGATGAGGATTCTTTTTCGCTGCCACTGAACACACCGTGAAGCACATACACTACATGAACTGTCGTTTCACTGAACCCACCCTCCCACATCCGTACCAGCGAGGCCNTTTTTGCTGCCACTGAACACACCGTGAGGCACATACACTACATGAACTGTCGTTTCACTGAACCCACCCTCCCACATCCGTACCAGCGAGGCCCGGTGCCTCCCTGCTGGACGGGCCACCCAACAGCCGATGTGATGAGGATTCTTTTTCGCTGCCACTGAACACACCGTGAGGCACATACACTACATGAACTGTCGTTTCACTGAACCATCCCCTTTTCTCTTCTTGTAGGTTGTGGCAAAGGGTTTTTCTTAGGAAGCAAGAGCACTCCTTATTGCCGCGTGTTTTAATGCCACAAGGACGAGCGCGTCTGTTTGTGGGCCAGCTGAACTTCGATGCGACAGAGGAAGATGTGTTTGCACTCTTCGACTTCTACGGGAATGTTCTTCATGTAAACATCCTTCGTGATAGGGGAACCAACCGAAGTAAGGGAAGCGCGTTTGTTGAATACGCCACGACATGGGAAGCTGACTTCGCTATCACGGCGCTGCACAATCGCTACAACATGGAGCGTGAGAAGCCGCTGCAGGTGTCTTACTGTGGGAAGTCTGATATAATCTCTGACTATGGTCGGGAGCATGCTCTTCAGCTTCACCGCGAGAACAGTGCGAATCCTGCACCTCCTGACCGAGCGGTGCAGAGGTAATTGTGCGAAGGATCTTTGTTGGAGGAATACCGATAAATGTTGGTGGTGTAAGTATTGTTCTCTGTCCTTTTTGCGGTTGATAAGAATGGACTTGTCCGAGGTGCAATGTATATGCTTGCTTCAACTGGTAGGCTCATTTTTCTTTGTGATTATGGAAGCCGTACACAGTATCGTGGCACCAAGGTGCAAAATAAAACTATAATCAACAAGCATTGATGAGTATTTTTTTTGCTGCCACTGAACACATCGTGAAGCACTTACACTACATGAACTGTCGTTTCACTGAACCCACCCTCCCACATCCGTGCCAACGAGGCCCGGTGCCTCCCTGCTGGACAGACCACCCAACAGCCAATTTGATGAGGATTCTTTTTCGCTGCCACTGAACACACCGTGAGGCACATACACTACATGAACTGTCGTTTCACTGAACCATTCCCTTTTCTCTTCTTGGAGGTTGTGGCAAAGGGTTTCTCTTAGGAAGCAAGAGCACTCCTTATTGCCGCGTGTTTTAATGCCACAAGGACGAGCGCGTCTGTTTGTGGGCCAGCTGAACTTCGATGCGACAGAGGAAGATGTGTTTGCGCTCTTCGACTTCTACGGGAATGTTCTTCATGTAAACATCCTTCGTGATAGGGGAACCAACCGAAGTAAGGGAAGCGCGTTTGTTGAATACGCTACGACATGGGAAGCTGATTGTGCTATCATGGCGCTGCACAATCGCTACAACATGGAGCGTGAGAAGCCGCTGCAGGTGTCCTACTGTGGGAAGTCTGATATAATCTCTGACTATGGTCACGAGCATGCTCTTCAGCTTCACCGCGAGAACAGTGCGAATCCTGCACCTCCTGACCGAGCGGTGCAACGATGATCGTGTGCAGCACTTCGGTTTTGAGTAGGCGCGACCATGAAGAGAAATGCCTCCGTGTATCTCTTGTGGCAGCTGTGTTGTCGAGCTTTACTATAAAACAAAAATGCCGAATGAGGCATGAATAGGTGTTGATCCTATGTCGGTCTTTTTTTTTTCATTCTTAATAAGTATCTCCTTGGACGCGCAGCCCCCTAGGTCGCTTTTTTTTCTTTGCTATTTCCCTTCCCACTGCACGTTGGGGAGGAGGGAATGGGAGAACAAAAGGAAAAAGAAACATTGGTGTTTCTTTGAATTAATTAACATGTAAGGTGGGCATATGCAGTGGCGACTTGCGGTCAAGTTCCTATCTGCATGGACTGACACGTGACTTTGTGTGGTGTCCTATTGCTTGGGGGTCTCGTGAGTGTGAACATCATGTGTTTTTTAATATGAAGAGTAGGATTGAGAGGCCTGGCACCCTCACTCTTGTACGCAGTCTTTTCTTTCGTTCTTGCTTCTTCCCACTGCTTTCTCCCGCTTGTTCTTTCTCTCTCTCCCACCCACACACACACGCACATAGCATAAGTGAAGAGTGCCCGTTTGTGTTTGTGTGTGATCGTTCCTGTGGCAGACTTGGGACAGACGGGGTGGAGATGTCTCGACGCGGCTTTGCAACGCACCGCGAGCGCTCGCCCGAGGCCGCGGATGAGCGCAACGGCCGCCTGCGAACGGAGGGGGGGCGCGCCGACGTACACGCGCCGATGCTGCAGCACGTGGAGGGGCTCTCGGAAGAGGCGCTATACGCGGCCATGTGCCCCAGCGATGGCGAGGCGCTGCCGCCAGGGTGGGAGAAGGTGGTGTATCACGGCACCACCGTCTACCTCGACCATATCGCGCGCGAGGCGCATGAGGTGTGGCCGTGGGAGGTATGGCGNCGGCACCACCGTCTACCTCGACCATATCGCGCGCGAGGCGCATGAGGTGTGGCCGTGGGAGGTATGGCGGCGGCGCTCCGAAATGGCTAGTTGACGCGTGGCGCAGGGCACAGGTGATAGTGCCGCTACGGTTTGCAATTTCGCTCGCCCCGGTGTGCGTGGGTACACGCACTGCGAATGTGGTGTTGTGTGCTCACCAGTGAACTGAAGTTTTAAGGTTGACCTGTACGCGGAGAGCGGCTGTTATGGAGATGTGGTCTGGTCCCTCGCTGTAAAGGCCGCTTCTGCCGCTGCGGCTACAGCTACTGTGTTGTCTCTTCACCCAGTGTTCGTTTTCTTTCTCTTTGCATCTTTGTCTCTTGTATCAGTTGTGGTGTTGGTGGCACAAGTGAGTGGAAAAGACCCAATGGTTTCTTTGCTCCTGTGCTTTCAGCCGGAGTGAGGACAAGCGCCCCTCCGCACGAACCTCAGGCCCCTTCATCATTGGACAAGAGATGTATCCTTGAGGCTATTTTTTTTTTGTTATTCACCGAGTGAGTTTGTATTGCCAGTGGATCTCGCATGAATCAGCCGGTGTGTGTGTCTATCGTGTTGCACCTATGATTTCTTGCGACGAAGACTTCTGTGGCTGCTTCGTTTCTGAATTAGCTTATTCAATGGTCATTATTTTTGTTGTCATGCGGCGCGTTGCGTTTGGGCCTGCAGCAGCACCGGCGGCTAGAAGTGCAGGGACTGGCTCTGAGGAAAGCCTGAGCGTGCGAGACGTTTGTGGGGGCCGGGAGGCCACAGCGGCCAGTTTCGTATTTGTGTCCCACCTGCTCTGTGTGTCTGTGTCTGTGTCTGTCTGTGTATTGTGCATTGATGTGTTGGAAGGCGGTGGGGGGGGCGTGTGTGCGCATGCACAGAGAAGGGGCAGCAAATCAAAATGAAATTCAAACGCAAACCGAATCATTCGGGTGCGGATGATATATAAGCATGGGGTGTCACTCTACGGCTGCTCTTCTCTTACTTCTATATTGCGGAAGGTAGAAACTATAGAAAGGGGGGAAAAGAAAAGCGGAAGAGGAAGAGTAGTTGGGGCTCTTCTTCGCACGTTACTGCTTGAGAAGGCCGCAGCAAATCCTGCGACGTGCAGCACACCAGAAGTTATATAGCCGAAGGAAGAGAGGAAACGGTAAAGACGCTTCACACAAGGACAACAAGAGAAAGGGGTCTCACGTTTAACTTTTTTTAACCACCCGCTCCTCTTTCTCCTCCTTCTCCACCTTTCCTCCACGCCCCACTTTGATAGCAGGAGCGTGAAGAGAACTGTTGTGAACTTAAGAAGGGGCGGGACTCGCGGTGTTTTGTGTCTTTCTTGTTGGAGCCACTTTCGTTTGTGTGTTGCGTGCTCGCCATGAACTTCAGGTCACTTACGAACTTCTGGAGGAGAGGGAGGAGGAACAAGGAGAGTGGGAGCAGCAACGCCAACTCCTTTCCATCTGTTCCTTCACAACAGCAACAGCTCGGACAGCGCGGTGTGACTCCCTTCGAAAACTGTCATTCAGCGCTACATCATATCCGTCGTTTTTTGGAATCCAGGGGGTCTGTTGCGTCATTGACCTGCCCTCTGCCTGATGGGGACCCCGTACACTCGAGGACGCCGGCGTCTGCTGGGATGACAGGGTCGTCAACGTCCATACTGCGTTCGCTGCGCGCCACGCATTCCGCAAAGGAGCCACCGCTTCCTCTGAAACAGGAGCGGGAGGAAATGATCGCAGCGCTCGAGCTCTGTCTGTATGAGGTACCCGATGAAGAAGTAGGGCGGGTGGTGAGAGCCGTCGGAAGCAGTAGTAACAACAACAGCACCTCCAGTAACAATGACAATGTGGCGAATGCAGATGTGGGAGAGGCCGTGAAGGTTGGTGTAGCGAGTCCTCCACTCTCCTCTGTTGACAATAGCAGTGCCGCTGCCACCACTATACCAACGTATACCCAGCAACATTGGCGTGTGTTGCTGCTGCAACTTGTAAATGCCCTCCTTGAGATTGACCGCACCATCTACGCCTGTATCATGGAAAGATGGCAGCAGCAGCGGTCATCTGTGACGTCGGCAAACTCATCGCCGTCGTCACAAGATAAGGTAAGTGTGAGTCGCTCAGCACTGTCTCCACCAGGTGGCGGCTTTGATGTTTCAGGGAGTTCAAGTTTCCAAGCTGTCCCACCAGCCGCTGTAGCATCAGCGACAAAAGGGACGGCAACTACAACTCCGAATGATCTTTGTGGATGTGGAAACGACGTCAAACTCAGCGGTTACCAACAAGCCGAGGAGCAGCTGCCATTGGTGAAAAATCTCACTACGTGGATTATCATGCGGTCCATCCTGCAACGCCAGGTGGAATGGCAATCCACAGAAGGCGCTTCCTCATCCGAAGCAGAGGTAGTAGTAGTACCAACAGAAGAAACGGGTCCGAATGCCAGCACACGGCCTTTGATTTTGTCGTCAAGAGCAGAAAAGACGATGTGCTGCGCCATTCCCGTTCCGTGGGGCGAGGTGGTCGCGGAGCTCATGGGCGCAACCGGCGTCACACAACGACAGACGGCGGAGGCGATTATATCGCTCTGGTTCTTGCAAGAGAAGAGCGGTCATGAACTTGTTCAGTGTGTGCTTCAGAAACCAAGACATGAACCGGGTAACGCAGCGGTGGGCAAACAGAATGTCGCTCAAGATGCTGTTAACAGAGCCGTCGATGATCAGGCTGTGCCAACACAGAAAAAGGATGCGGCAAAGCATATTGTGGACACTGTTTGTATAGAAGAGCTTGTGGAAGAAATAGAAATGGTGTACGAGCAAAACGTTGTCATGACGTGGGTGGCATACCTTGAGCAGCTCTTATCTAGTCTTGCAACTGAGAAGGCAGGCAATGGCGATGTGATCCGGCCGTCGAATGTGGTCTGTAGTTGCCACATGATGTCTGCGTATGCCGTCTGCTCACCCTACTGGAGCGAGGAGAAGCGACAGCAGGTATTCCAGATTCTGCAGAAGGTGTGGAAAGAGAACTGTGATTCCTTTCTGTCAACCTGCACGCTCAGTCTGAGGAGTCCCAGCGCCGCCGCCGCCGCCGCCGGCTGGAAATCTGCCGGCTCTACTGTTGATGGAAGCTGTGGTGCCAACTATATTTTGTCTCCGGAGGAGGGCGGTGTCGGCAACGATGGCTTGGATGCCACGGTGGGCTCGCTGTTTAGCGATTCACACAAGCAGCCACGCGTGCCTCAGCCAACATCGGATCGGTACGCCGTCGCGGATGAAGGGGATAGCCCGTCGCTTCAGTCGTCGGTGAACTCTCTGCCAGAGATGTCGACGACGCCGACGGCGGCAGCAGCAGCAGAAGCAGTGGTGGTGGTGACGCAGGACACGAGTGATGATTCACTCGAGGAAGAATTGGTGTCGTTCATGTTGCACGTGGCGTGGGTGGAGGTCTTGCACGTGCGCGTACAGCAATGTCTGCGCGGCCGCACGCCACGGTTTGTCGAAGCGGAGCGCTGTGCTAACGAGGAGCGCGACGTGGCGCTCGCGATGCGGTGGCTCATGTGCAGGCAGAGCGCCCTCGAGTCCCTCGTGCACGCTCATATTGCCGCCGGGAAGTATGCCGCGGCGCTTAAGATGGCACAGGCGCACTTTGCTCACGCCAAGAACGAGTGGTCGGTGGGCAAGCACGAGCTCGGGAGTGGAGTGAAGTATCTGCGCTCGATGGGACTGCTCGCGCAGGCACAGCAGGCCTGCCACATGGACGCCTCGCTGATCGAGACGGCGCAGTTCGCGCTCCCGCAGGCGGCGCTGTGCGAGCAGATGGTGCAAGACCTTGCTCCGACTGGTGGCACGTACGTCGTGCGGTACGCTGCCGCGCGGCATGAAATCTACTGTGCGAAGCTTCTCTACCTGCGCGAGAGCTGGCGGGCGTATCACCGCCTCGACGACGCCGTGCACACTGCCATGTACTTTGATCTGTACATGGAGCACATCAAGCATGGGCAACGGTCGCTGCGCGATGCGGGGGTGTATGTGGCGCTGAAGGAACGCGGCGAGCAGCTCGAGGAGGAGAAGGAGTATAAAAACGCGGTTTTGGTCTTCAAGCAGGCGGTGGAATGCGCAAAGGGGCTGAGTGTGACGTTGCCAGTGCCACTGCCAGTTCCGCCGTCGTCATCGTCGTCGTCGTCAGCAGCAGCAGCAGTAACAACATCAACAACTAATACTACGACTACGGCGAGAAATGCTGATGGTGCTGCTGAGGCCCGCAAGTCGCGAGCTGTGGACTATGAACTTGGGATGGTTTGCTGCGAAGCGGAAAGTGAGCGCAACCTTGCCCTCGCCTACGTGACTCAGGCAGAGCATGAGGTCAATGTCAGAGAGCGTCGCCAGCAGCTCAGTAACGCAGTGAACAGCGCGTACGCAGCCCAGAATGCCTTGCAGCGGTGCGCACCCAAAGGGAAGGCATCGGGAGGTGTGGCACCGATCGACGTGGCCTCGTCCCTTGTGGTGGTGGCAAGGGCTCTGCTGCAGCTCGGCCAGCCCAAGAAGGCCGCGCTGCTGCTTGAACCACTCATCGAGGACAAGGTCAACTCCGCCTCTCTGCGCCCTCCACTGTGGTCTGACGTGCTTCTGCCCCTCGGGCGGACCCTCACATCGGCTGACGTTGACGAGCGCGTAGAACTCCTGCAGGTGAAGATCACAACATACGATGTCCACACGCAGTGTCTTAGCAAGTTCGATGCTGAGCGCGCGTGCCGTGAAACGAAGCGTGCACAGGAATTCCTCCAGGAAGTAAAGGCATGGGCGATGGCGCTCCTCAAAGAACCGCCAAGCGGCAATGGAGTTGGCGACAACACAACCCTGGAAGGGGGTCAGACATTAGCCGCAGTGGCGCCGGTCATGATTATGGAAAAATTCTCTATTTCCCAGATCCTTCGGCGGGTGAATGCGGAGCAGCCTATTTTAACCATAACCTGTGGTGACGCTCTCGCAATGCTAGGTAAGTGGGAAGATGCGTTGCAGGAGTACTCTAATGCACTTGCCATGTACACAGGTGGGGATGGTCTTATCGGTAGCAACACCGATCCCACTCTAACGGCGAGGGAACGCGAGCGAGCGCGGAATGACTGCAAGTTAGGGGAGTCGCTTGTGTTGGCAAAACTTGCGGAGGTATATGCCGCGCTGGAGAAACCCAAGACCGCCGTTCACTATTACCATCAAGTGCTGGAATACGCCTCGGAGGTAGGAAACACGCTGTTGCAATACAACGCCCTCATCCGCCTCGCCCGGTTGTACACCGCGACTTGTAACCACGGGGAGGCTGGGGAGCAGTGGGCAAAGGTGAGCGAACTTGCGAAGGAGTATGAGGATAGCGAGATTAGTCGTGAAACAACACGCAACATCGTCACAGCACAGCGTGCCGCTGGGATGTATTTGGATGTAGTAAACACAGCCAAAGAGCTGGACGCGCTGGCGTCCACTGCAGAGGGTGTCGATGCTGCCGCCGACCGCCGATTTGCGCTGGAAGCTCTGGCCGATGCGCACCTGCAGCTCGGTCAGTACAAGGAGTGCATAAAGACCCTCGACGAGCGCGAGAAGGTGCAGGACAAATGTGGTCAGGGGAAGGGGACGCTCCTCAGCATGCGTGCCCGTGCGCTTCTGGGTGACGGTGCGGTGGTGGACGCCATCAAGGTGCTGACTCTCTGGGCCCACAAGGCGCGGCAGTTGTTTAACTGGGCGGAGTTTGGCCATGCCAACGCCCTGCTTGCGCTGGCACATGCCACGGTGGGGCAAACTTTTAAGGCAAGACGGCACCACCAGATCGTGCTCGCCGCCTTCTCCGAGGTGGCGGACATGAGCCGCGAGAGCTGCCATGCCGTCATGGAGTCGGCACGCTGGCTCGTGCACTACTACTACCTAAACGATGAGGAGGTGACGCTTGTGGATGATGGCATCGACAAGGCGGGACATCAAGACAACAATAAGGCCTCATCCCCATCCCCGGCTCAACCGAAGGCCACAAACTCGACAACGTCTGTGGGTGGCAGCGGCGGCAGATGTGGGAGTAGAGGTGCTCTTCCTGATGATGGGGAAGCAGGTGTGCATCAGGTGCGCAACGACAGCGGTGACCTTAATGTTCTTATGCGAGAAGAGGAGAAACGAATGAAAAATATCCGAAAAAGTGATGATGGTACCCACAGCGGTAAAGGGCAATCAATAGAAGAAGAGGGTGGCACAGAGGACGCTGGGGAGACGCTGGCGAATTGCTCCATGTTCGGCATGAACTTAGCGTCCCTCGTTGACGATGACAACAGCAGCAGCACAGAAAATAAGGCGGCACCTAAACCTCAGGGGGAGGAACTCCCCGCCGCCGTTGAACGGCCCCGTGCCGCGTCACCGCCGGCATCGTCATCACACGCATCAGCAGCAACGGCGACACCCACGCGGGGTCCTATGACGTCGCTGGCGAATGTCTCGCTTTGTAAGCGCCCCGCGGTGCTAGAGGGAGAGAGCGACATCGTCGTGCAGGATCCGCTTCCCTCAGTAAACGTTCCGGAGGTCTTGCGGGAGGAGTTCCCGCAGCGTGAGGCCACGAAGGTGTCGACGCTTTGCTTTCGTCGTGCTCTGGAGACCATCGAGATGGCTACGCAACTGTCACTCATGCCGCCGACGATGCGGCAGCAACTGATACCGCGTAACCCCGCCGACGTGGTGGATCTCGCGCTCGTCTCGTTCCCGCGCTGCACTTTTGTCTTCTATTTTGCCGAGTTTTCCACGCAGTACAGCGTCGTGGTGCGCCCAGCCGGCCGCAGCTTCTTTCTCCGGCGTTCCGTGCAGGTGTACTCCTTGAAGGACTACCACACCAAAAAGGCGCCGGTGCCGCCGCATCAGCCAATATTGTCTGAGGCCGAGACACCGCAGCCGTCGCACACGGGTCGCCGCGTGTCTATCATTGCGTCGTCGTTGAGTTCCATTGCACGTAGGAGCCACGCGAATTCAGTGGAGGCGTCGCAGATTGTGCTGGATGTGAACGCCGAGGAGACGGCGAAGAACATCGAGCTCTTGCAATCCCTGCAAGACCTGTACGCGGACCTCTGGATGCCTGTCCAGATCTCGCTGCGGTTGGCGCAGTGTTCCAATGATGAGGCGGAATGTTTGGTTCTCGTCGTCGATCCCACGCTGCTACACGTGCCATTTCCTGCACTCCAGGACTCCGCGGCCGGCGTGGAGTCGCTGGGCCAGCAGTTCACGCTGGCGGTGACGCCTACCGTCGCGCAGTTCATGCACACCATGCGGCGCGACACGAAACCGTCGCTTCTGCAGGCCCCGTGCGAAAGCCGCTATGTTTTTCTCCCAGAGGACGCGGTCATCGGTGGAGGTGGTAGCACCACAACGATGACGATGGCCGGAGCGTCACCGGAGTCGCAGGGGATGTATCGCACGGAGGACGTCTCTAGCAAGACGTCGCTCACAACGCAGAAGAGCACCGGGACCGCCGCAACAGAGGAGCGGCGCCACATAGCGCTTGCATCTGCTTCTGGTGCTTCGGTGCTTTGGCTTGCCGACACGCCGCACCCATGGACACTCTGCACCGGCTGCACCCGCAAGGAGGTAATCTCCGCCTTCACGTCGCCGTCCTGCCGCGCGCTGATGGTGCTGTGCGACCCTGTCGAGCACATGTTCAAGGTTGGCGACGGCATGGTGCGGCTCGCCGACGTGACGCGCGGCCACCCGCGTCTTCCGGAGTCGCTCGACCTTGTTGTTGTCACGAACAGCCGCGAGACGGCCCCCACCGCCGATGAGGCAGGCGTGGCGGCACGGCTATGTCTTGACCACGGCTGCCGGCGTGTGCTGCGACTCGACCTGCAGCCGGGCGCGCAAGTCACGGAGTCGCACCACCAGCTGCTGCGCCTCT